AACCATGTCAACACATACTCTTAATACATCATATTTGTGGGTCTCTGTTCTTGTTCAATGGATAATTTAAATGAGTACAATTTGGAATTATATTATGAGAATGTGGTTAAGATTTTTAAAATACATTCATGCCTACTCTAACTTACCACCACTATTTCCTTGCTTTTCTGATCACTCATCTAGTATTTATTCATTTTTGTATTTTGTTTCTACTTATATTCAGAACATAAAATTTTATCTACTGCTGCCTTTATCAATCTCCATGTTGGGCTTATTTACTACTTTAATGTCTACTTAATACTGTATCATGTACTTAATATACCAACACTTTTGCAGATGCCATTCTGTGGGATACAGAAATAGTTTCTATTATTCACTGTCATGAATAAGGCTACAATGAACATTTTCCTAAGGATACCATTTTTTTATTTTGAATGTTCACCTTGAGATAATTTGTAAGTAGGATTAGTAGGTTTGAATATATGAATACATTTAAGGACTCTTAAAACAGGTGTGGGTCAAGCTGGTGATTCAGTGGACTGTACATACATACCTACAATACCACCAAGAATGTGAATTTATCAGTGGTTTCCCAAATAGTCTCATTTGCATTTTACTATTTATAATTGTAGTTAATTCTATCAGTATCATTTTTTAAAATTAGGATTTCTTTAAAATTACCCTTTGAGATTTTTACAATTTACATACCGCTTACTGTTTGAGAATTAGTGTGGTTTAATTAGGGAAATTGCTCAAGTATGAGACAAGCACAAGAGGCTCACATCCCTACTCAGGCCAATTCTCATTGTGTATGCAGTGAATTAGCCTCTCACGAAAGGTAATCCCTTCATCTCTTAACTGGGGGTAAGGACACCTGCTTCACCAGGCTGTTGGAACGAGGATCAGGTGAGTTCATCAGTGCCAGGTGTGCTGTGTCACACAGGGAGTTCTCACCCCTCCTTCCCTCTGTCTGTCTGCATTGTCCATACAAAGACCTCCCCGACCTATTGTCAGGGTCACCCATGCATGTCCTTTGGTACAAAGCTCCACAAATCCTGTGTTTCCAGCCCTAGGGCTGATGGTCAGCACATCTAAGGAGCTGATCTCTGGCTCTGCAGCACCAGCAGAAACAGGCATGAACCACTGAGGCCACATCTGTAGGATGCCACGAATTACCAAACTGTTCATACAAATGAGAAATATGCTCGAAATGAACTGCTTGACATGGATTCCTCGTTTTGGAACTCTGTGTGTAGCCCAGTTTCTCTTTTCAGTGTCGTACCCATTTTTTCTTCTGTACAATTTCTCAGAGATATTTCAATTTGCTTCTTTGTTGTGGTTTTGAGTAACACATCAGCAGAATCTTCTATCTGTTGCATCCAACTCAGGAACGAGCTTACCTTAGTGGTAACAGGCTTAGTTTGTCAAGCAATTGTATGGCTGGAACTTGCATATCTGGATGACACCATCCCTTGGATTTGTCCATCTCACATCCCATGTCTGCACCCTGGGCATCACTGTGCCTCTTCTGCCTGGACCTGTCTCTGTGTGGATGGCCTTTTTAGCAGGAGCTGCCTTTTCGAAGCCCATTCTTCAAAGTCAGAATGACCTCTCATATGTCATAAGATGTGCAGCTTTTGAGTTGAAAAAACATTAAAAATAAAATTTCTCATCTTCTTTCATTAGGGTGGACAATTTGGGGGCTGCTGAAAGATTTTTCATTCTCTCACTTCCATGGTGAAAACTTGGACTATGAAGTACTCCAGGTAGCCTCACTTAAGAGGCCAGGGCAGTTGCAGGGGATGGCTTATGGCTTTCCAGCCACAGCAACATGCAGGGCTGTAAAGTACACACCTGTCAGGAGTTAAGGCAAAAGGCCTGAGATAGGCTGCTGTGCAGCAGGTCCATTTGTAGAGGGACTGGAGGCTGACCCCCGAATTTGTCATCTTCTCGGGCAGAGCACAGTAGACAGCCCTGTCTCCAGTATGGCTTTACAAGAAGTCTATCACTGAACATGTCAGAACTCACAAGGTGACTTCCAACCAAAATGGAGGCATAGGTAGATCTACTGTGCCTCCTTGCACAACCAAAAGGACAACAACAAATTAAAAAAAAAAAACAGAACTGCCAGAAAATCAAATTGTATAGAAGTCTGACAACCAAGGAGTTAAAGAAGAAACATTCATCCAGACTAGTAGGAGGGGCGGAGACTAGCAGCCAGGTGGAGAGGACTCAAGGCCAGACGGTGGCTGCAGCAGGGTCCTAGAATGTACACAAATCCACCCACCCAGGAATCAGCACCAGAAGGGCCTAATTTTCATGTGGGTAGCAGAGAAAGTAACTGAAAGCCAGCAGAGAGCTGAGCAAGCAGCATTGTTCCCTCTCAGACCCCTCCCCACAGACAGCACCATAACGCAGCAACATGGCTTGCCTCACCCAGGTGAATACCTAAGGCTCCGCCCCCTGCAACATAGCTGGTACACAGAGGCAAAGAAATGGCCCAAATAAAAGAACAGATCAAAGCTCCAGAAAAAAATACAACTAAGCTGATGAAGAGGTAGCCAGCCTATCAGATGCAGAGTTCAAAACACTGGTAATCAGGATGCTCACAGAAATGGTTGAGTATGGTCACAGAATAAAGGAAGAAATGAAGACTATAAAAAGTGAAATAAAGGAAAATACACAGGGAACCAACAGTGAAGGGAAGGAAACCAGAATTCAAATCAACGATTTGGAACAAAGGAAGAAATAAACACCCAACTGGAACAGAATAAAGAAACAAGAATTCAAAAAAAAAAATGAGGAGAGGCTTAGGAACCTCTGGGACCACTTTAAATGCTCCAACATCTGAATCATAGGAGTGCCAGAAGGAGAAGAGGAAGAGCAAGAAGTGGAAAACATATTTGAAAACATAACGAAGGAGAATATCCCCAATCTGGCAAAGGAAATGGACTTCCAGGAAGTCCAGGAAGCTCAGAGAATCCCAAACAAGTTGGACCCAAGGAAACACACACCAAGGCACATCACAATTACATTACCCAAGATGAAAGATAAGGAAAGAATCTTAAAAGCAGCAAGAGAAAAAGAGACAGTTACCTACAAAGGAGTTCTCATAAGACTAGCAGCTGATTTCTCAAAAGAAACCTTACAGGCAAGGAGGTGATGGAAAGAAGCTTTCAAAGTCATGAAAGGCAAGGACCTACATCCAAGATTAACCTATCCAGCAAAGTTATCATTTAGAATGGAAGGGCAGATAAAGTGCTTCCCAATTAAGGTCAAGTTAAAGGAGTTCATCATCACCAAGCCCTTATTATATGAAATGTTAAAGTGACTTATCTAAAAAAAGAAAATAAAAAACTATGAACACTAAAATGACAACAAACTTACAGCTATCAATAACAACCTAAACAAACAAACAAACAAACAAACTCAGCAATCAATGAGAACAGGAAGAGAGTCACAGAAATGGAGATCACATGGAGGGTTGTCAGTGGGAAGAGGGAGGGGGAGAATGGGGGAAAAGGTACAGGGAATAAGAAGCATAAATGGTAGGTGCAAAATAGGGAAGTTAAGAGTAGTATAAAAAACGTAGAAGCCAAAGAACTTAAATGTATGGCCCATGGATATGAACTGAGGGGGTAGATAATGCTGGAGGGTGGTGGGTGGAGGGTGGAGGGGAATACAGGGGGAAAATGGGACAACTCTAATAGTGTAATCAATACAATATATATTTTTAAAAAAGAACTCACAAGGTGAAAAAAAGCAGCCTCAGCCGTAGTCTTGTTGTCTACTGCATGTCTGCCTTCCTGACACTGGACATGGAGGGTGATAATGGAAACAGTTCACTTCTTCCCAGAGCCTACTCTGCAGCCCTTGTCATGAAGCAACAGTGACTGCAGCAGTCACACCACATTCATCACCCTGTGGCAGAGAGGCCTGACTCTCTCTTAGCTTCCAGCCTGCACCAATCCCTTCGTGCTCTGGGGCCAGGCCCCCAACCACAGGTGCACTGTCCTACCTGGCAGACAGATTGTAGAGCCAGAATGAGATAATGTAAGGATTTTGGGAAAATACTCAAATTCCATACAGTGATTCTGGCAGGTGCTTTTGTTTGTACTGTTGGACTGATACACAATCATTTAAATCTGCATGAGGATGCTCTGATTGGGATTGTGTATGTTGTGTGCCCCTTACATTGTCACAGGACTTTTATGGAAGCTCCCAGAACATGACTTTCTCTCTAAAGTGCTGCCTACATATCTTTCCCCACCCCCATGCCACCACCTCCCTTTGTCTGTCTGACACCCTGAACTCAGCATTTGGACTGAGCTATCTCTGCCCTCTGTGGCCCATGGACGGGCAATCGCTAGTCCTTGGCACCTTGCATGGGAATGCTCTGCATCCAGCTTGGCCTTCCTACTCAGTAGCCTGGGGTTGTTGTAGGGCAGGACCTAGTCCTGTTCACTTTTTCAGCCGTGGTTCAGGTTATTTGCTCAGTAAATATTGATCATAATGGTGAGTGAATATCAAATACTTGTCATGAAATAACAAATTGAAGTAGTAAAGTGAGTGGTTTCTTGCATATTTGCTATAAAACTTGTGAAGGAAACTCAACACCTAGCTTTTTATAAGTAATATAAATGCATGTGCATTATGTATGCACATTAAAGGGGGAATCTTATCAAGTGCTGCCAATGTTATTACTGAAAGTTTCCAACCGAAGGTCCGTAACCACCTGACAGACCAGATGCTGTGACCTCTGTGTGAGAGGCAAGCTGCACAAACTCAGTTTCATCAGCAACTGCTTGGATCATGCATCTAGTGGGGTGTCGACAGGGGTACAGAACAAAAGGGTTTCTTGATGAAGTGCATTTGGAAAATGCTGGGATAAATCTCCATGTATGAAATCGATCACAGTTAAAATACCATGTCACAATTTAGTGTCTAGGCGTCCTACTCTCCTTTCTATCTTGTTTGACCAATTTATTTATGGTTTTCAGCTTCTGCGGTGACATGGAATCTGGCTCCTTTCTTCAAAGGAAGTTCAACCCACAGCACAGTCCTTGACACACTGCATTGGTTTGTGATCTACCTGGTGCAGGTATGCAGACCCTCCCTTAGAGTCCCACCCATCCTTTTGGATCGTGCCAGTGTATCCATATCCATTTCTGTTGTTCTTGTTGATTTCTGAGAATGGAATTTGTTCTGAGGAGTAAAACTCAAATGTCAGGGATGACCTTGATGACCTTGTCTTGCCTTCTTAGAAGTATGTGTTTATAGTATGACATTCAAGGTCCCTGGAGACCCCTTCATCTTCTTTGTTATGTGATAAACACAAATTAAGAATGCATTGTTCAGGGGAGGAGGGAAAGTCTGTGCTCACATGGTTCTTAAAATAATGAGACTTACCTACAACTCCATGGGAATCAAGTATATGATTTATATGTCAGTAAATGTTGTAACTGTTTATAAGTATAACATCTGTAGTTCAGACTTCTAACAGAAAGATATAAACTTCTTATTGTGTCCATACTTTGTCTAGGACTAGACAAAACTGAGTGCTAGATTATAAACTACATGACTGCACATGCAAATTATTATCCCTTGATCTCTAAGGTTTTGTGAAAGTTACTCCTTTGGTATATCATGACATAAATATGATATTACATAAAAATATAGTATTTGACAGTTTTTTGATTAACAAAAGTCTCTTGAAGAGAATACTGTGAAGTGAGGTTCTCCTAAGTTACAAGCCTGTATGTCAGGAGATTTAATTCAAGTCAGACTCCCTGGATGGGGGGTGTATGTGTAGGGGGTTGTCCGAAAGGGATACTTTATTATGAGATTCACTGCTTTGCTGTATTTCACTTTTTAAATATTATTATGAATATGGTTGGTTCATTGAAATGCTGGTACAATTTAGAAAAGTTTCTCATCTATATAAATCTTATTTTCAAAAGTAAATTATAACTGCTTCTCTGCCCACCCCTCTCCCACCAAAAAAAAAATCTGCTAAAAACCACGTTAGGGTGATAGCACAGGCTTGAGACTTAATTAGATGTGAGACCTAGCTTTGCTGTTTAACTTACTACCTTGGGAATCATTTTTGTGCTTTTTAAAGAAGAGTATTATTACTTAATTCAGCAGAAAGGACGGGAGTGGGAATGGAGTGGGGAGGGAGGAGGGGAGAAGTGATCAGTGCACAATTGCAATGAACCAAATGCACCAGGTCACCTTTACTCTTAATGAAGCTTCAAGTAATAATGGCTCGTTTCCACGAGTCTCCAAAGCATTTCCTCCGACTTTCTGTGAAGGTCTGAAATCCATAATTAGAGTTTAACCTCCCTGATTTAAGGCAGATGTTGCAACTGGTCCCCTACGTATTCAATCTCAGTTTGAGTATTTTGCAGCTTTTGGCCCACACAGAATTGACATGTATGCATTTTTTTTAAATCGCCAAATCAGAAAATCCAGAGTTCACATAAAAATCTGGCTTCCCAGTCATCTCTTTCTCCGTAAATTGTGCTACAATTAAACTAATTCATTGGGCCAGAAATCTCATTGTCAGGAGAGGCTTCTCTCTATCTTTACCGTCTCTACACTTGACCCTGCAGATGCTCCAGAGCTCAGCTCTAACCCAGTGTCTTCAGCCCTCCCTGTGACAGGTGCTGGTGCCACAGCTACTTCCACAAAATGATGTCCACATTTGAGGGTGGAGCTGGGGCCTCAGAAGTTTTACAAAGCTCCTCAGGGGTTTTAATGTGCAGCAAGGTCTAGAGTCGCTGCTTGAACACCTTCCTTTGTTTCTGTCCACTGTCACCTCCTTCATCTACAACGGCCCTGCATCATCTTCTCCTTTCCATTCATGTTCCTACTCAATCCGTTCTCCAACAGCCAGAGTAATTGTCTTTAGGTATAAAAGTATATGATCAATTCCTGCTTAAACCTCTTCAATAATAAAGGGACAATGACTGATAATGATCCTTTATCCATTGGTTGGATAAAGACCCTGAGTTCAGGCTTCGTTGGAGGACCAAGTCATTGAGGCATGAAGTTTCTTGGGGAAATGGGGGAGAAGGCATAAAGGATACAGCTGAGGATGCCCAGGCAGTTTTGCTCCATTCCCTCCTCAGTACCTCCTGCCCCTCTGCTTCCCCAGGCGGTGACCCTGGCATACTGCCCAACGCCTGCTGCCAGTCAGGGTGCTGATCTCTTGCACTATCAACCTTTTATAACTGGTCAGTGACATTATTGTAAGATTAATTTTATGGCACAGCTACCAGAGTTTATTAATTGTCATTCTTTTATAGTCTCATGATTCATTCAGCACTGTAAGTTGATATGGTAGATTTTTAGGCAGAATAACAGGATTTGGGGCTTTGTCAGGGTAGGGTTATAGCTGGCATCTTGTCGCCTGCTGCTCAGACATACAGAACTTCCTTTCATCACTGAGAAATGTCAATCCAGTAACTCATCTGAGCTTCCACGGAGACTCTGTCTTGTCCCACAGTGACCACAGAGAAGCTCCATGGACTTGCTTTAGGCAGTGAGAGTTCTCCTTTAGACTCTAATCTCCCATAAATGCATGTGGAAAGGAAAACGATAAGTTATCGTCAGAATGTTTTCATCAAAAAGGACACCCTTGGGGGTTTAGTGATGTTACTTCAATCAGTTTTAAAAGAAATCAGTAAATGCAAGGTTCATGGAAGCTGAGTGGGAACTTGGGTCCATGTCAGCACCCCTTGTGCACAGCAGAGTCAACTTGTATTTTTTGCTGGTGACAACGTTTGTCTTCAGTGTAAAAGCTTCAGTGTTTCACCAATTACATTACCAAAAGTACAAAAATGCATAGGGCATTCAGGTGATGCAGACCAATAAAGATGTTATAAAAACATAGTTATCTAGGAATTGAATTCATGCCTGAGGCATAGCTACCTTCTTTACCATAAATTATTTTCATTAATGAAGCTAAAGTGTGTTCAAAGACCCAATTCACCCAAGTGATAAGCCTGTTCGGAGCTATCCTTTCCTTTATGAAAACAGTTGATATTTTAATCTTTCTCCAAAATATGTATTTTGGAGGAAAATGAAGAACACAATACACAGAGAGAGGCACAAGCACATACCCCCTGGACATCCCTGGAGACACAACACCAGGCGGGGCTGGTTACTGAGAGGCCCCTGGTTCCTTTCTGGACTCTGGTGGACTGGCCTTGCGCACAGTCTTCATGGTGGCGAGCCCAGTTTAGGACCATCTTTGAGGGATTTAAGCAGTGAACCTTTTATCTCTTAGAGTTCTGCATCAGTACAGGAAATGCTATTCAAATAATATACCACCTTTCCCCCCCACCCTAAATTTCTTATCTCTTTGAGTCCGTGGGTTCTGTCCAGGGGAAGATTAAAATCTGTTCGAAATCCACCACGTTGCCACCACACAAAACAGCTACTGAGGGGAAATTAATAGTGTCTGAAATGAACCTTGGGTTAAGCATACTTAACTTTGCATTTTTCACTAGTGTTTTCATTTTCCATTAACTACCTTTAATTAAAGACTATCCTCACTGACCTGTAATTGGTTAGGATTCATTTAAAAACTCTAATGTGTAGGGTGAATGTGTCCTGTGGGTATTATGAGGCAGACACAATATGCCACTTTGTGATATGGAGTTGGTTGTGAGGATTTGTATTATTTTATATTAATACATAAATGGCCCCAAAATGTGTGTGTTTGTCATAGATACTTACCATTATATCAAACCTTTTCTGATTCTTGATATTGCTCTGGCTCATTATATTGAGTTTTGAGAATTACTATTTTGGAACAAAACATATATATTCTTTAGGATCCTCCATGCTTGGGCCATATTTAATAAATATCTGTGCAATGAGTGAATGAATAATTCAAATGCATTTTAATTTTAGACACAAGTGAATGAAATTATACCAAAGCTAAAGCTGACTTCACCAATGAACTACATACATAAAACAGTGAGCAACACACAATAATTCATCAGATCAGGGACTGTGTCTGGTATGCTCTGTTAGAACAGAGAGATGGCTATCACTTTTGAAGAATTTGGACAGAGTCAAAGACCAGAACGCTAATGCTGTGTTTGGTAGCAAATCCTGGTTCTGCTAAGGCAAGGCTGTTTGCTCCCCTGTCCTCCTTCAATGTTTTCACCTTTGAAGTTTTATTTCTGTCATGGGATGGAGGTATTCAAGTCCAAAGACTCCTGACTGAGGTGCCTTGTCTTTCACCATTCACCGGCGTCACAGAGACAGACCTCCAGAGGGCCAGCACTGCAGTGTGCTGTAGATACTGGTCTGGCCCACCGAGCCGCTTCCAGGGGTGTCCCATGCGGCGAGTGACACATCACCCAGATAAGTTCCCAGGCTTCTATCCACGTATACCTTAGATCTCTGACTTTTCTTGGGAAAGCTCAAACACAATAAAGATGATGTGCTTTATGTTGCTTCACTTTTACATTTTAGAAAAAAGGTGATGGTCCAAACTCATCTGTCACTCTTAACAGTGACATCAAGTTATTTTCTCAACAGTTGTAAAATTTCACTTTGAATTTAAATTGCATTCTTAGTAGAACTATATACTGTCTTCAGGGAACAATTAATTGAATGTATTTAGGATCTCTAAATCATATTTGCATACAGGGAAGTTTTAAAAAATAAACCGATTTTCTTTATCAGAATATTAGTAATATGATCACTGATAACTTTGATGACAAATGTTCTGATGTCAACAACTTCCCTACAGTTAATTTGGTCATGTCAGTGTTCAAACATGTTTTTCTTTATATTATTAGCTTTCTTCTCTTCAATATTTTTATCTTCTACCCTTTACTTGTTTTTATTTATGTATCTGTACTCTGCTTTAAAAAAGATGTTAGATGGGTTATAACAAGAATAAAATATAATTACAAATAAAATAGAAAATTAGAGCAGGACAAATGTAAATTAAGCTGGAGAATCAAGAGACAAGTATCAGTCCCAATTAGGGAGACCCTAGGACCTGCCATTGCTACTCCGGATTCTCAGACTCAACTTTATTTTTCTTGTCAGCTAAATGAAAATTTAGGTAACAAT